TTCATGAATTGAATATTATTATTGCGATGTTACTTTGTGAGTTATGAATGAAGTGGAACATTCTGCTTAATCGTCACAAACAATCCTTTCCTGGTTAATATCTAATGGAACAGTTAAACGACACGTCATTTCCATCAGCAGCAGTCTTGATACTTGGCATCCTACTGACAGTGATGGGTGTCACAGCTGTTTAAATCGAACACCAGAAATTATCTAATAGGTGGAATGTTACGCTTCTTGTATTTATAACTAGATACGTATGAGATTTACGATCTCGAAACGTAAATTTTCGCTTTATTGGTTCGTCTGGTATGATGAGGACGTACGACATCTGCTTGGTAATTCTTCATCTGCAGTTGGATTCCTGTTAATCAGTCTAATGTCCGCCCACCTCTAGTATCTGCTCGGGGGTTATCTTTTTGCTTCCGTTCTCACTAATGAAAGTCGTTCTCTGGTGTCATGGGGTTGAAAGTAAATTTACTTTAGCAGCATTTTAGGAAATTACTTTTAATTGGCTTATATCAATAAAATATCTTATAAAACATCTGTTTCCTGTTCAATTAAATGCCCCGTTTTTTAGTTATATTGATGATAAGATTTTCTATAGATCCTTCTACATGTAATTGGAAATCAAAAAATTGAAAAACTAAAATTACATTTTAATAAGCTATTTTATCATAAAAAAATGATAAAATAACAACTACTGACATTTTATTATACGAGAATTTATTAATAGTATATGAAGTAATTAATCTAGAAAAAAAAATATTTCGAGTTTTGCATAAATTTCCTAAGGAAATTTAAGCTTAGTCTATTAATAAAAAGTTGATTTATAATTCTAAAAATAGTAAAGAAAATTATAAATTTTTTATAATTAAGAAAAACGTCATAAAAGTCTGTCATACCTTCTAAAAACACGCACACACCTCCTAAAAAAACACATGTAATTCATTAAGAATAATGTTTCCTAATGCTAGACACTTCTTTAACTAACAATCAAACTGCTTCGCGTTATTTTTTTACACTTTTTTTTAAATTTTTTTAGAAGATCCAACAATATTGTATTCGACAAACATCTACATTTTTTAACTTCTCGAACATCGAATGAAAAAAAAAGGAAAAGGGGGAAAATACTGTATTTAGGCATAGATGTCTTTTGAATTATTGAAAAACGTCTTTTTAAATTATTCTTTTATAAGATATTTTATTTGGTTGTTAATCTTATTTTATTCCTATAATTTGAAAAGATTAATACTAATAAATTCCATTTTGAATAATCTGATTTGTATAATTCCTATATTGAATTTAAAGGAAGGAGAAAAAACTAATAAAAATAATAATCTTTATTAATTTATATTTAAATATACTTTCTTCTTGCAGTTTTTACAAATTCTACTGTTTAGAATTGATTAACAATTATTTTACATTTATTTAATATTCTTTAGAAATTATACTTTTAATTTATATGTTAATTAATTTAAGCAATTTATCTTATAATCACACATAATTTACTTTTAAATAGATGTTTTTTTAAAATGCTTTCTTTTGCCTTTCTAATAACTAGAGGCACTAATTTAATTTCATAAACTATTTACTTCTAGTTATTTTTTTTTAAATAAATTATACAGGATGGTCCGAATATTAGTTAACTGCGTTTTATTTCTGTGTTTCGGGTGCATCTGTGAATATCAAACTCGTAAAAAAAAATTTAAAACAACGTGTTTTTCCTTTACAGAATTGGTGGAAACGTGATAGAAATGTGATTAAGTATTTGAACAACACAACAATTTAGTGTTTACAATGGTTAACTGACTTTTGGATCATGCTGTAGATTCATCTTAATAAATAAACAAATAAATTTTTTACTTAAAGAGTTTAAATACCATATATTTTACGCACTATTTTCATTTTAAAATAACTTAACTAAATTTTAATTAGATATTTTAAATATTTACTTTAATGAAAAATATATAAGCTCAAAAATTAGTCAATCATATATCGTTTCATTTGTTCTAGGTTCAAATGTGAGTATGAATCGTAAACTGAGTTTAGAACAAATTAGTACATTTAAAAACAGAAATAAATAAATAAAATACGATTACGTATCTGAATCATAAAGAAATTTAGTCTTTACGACAGTTAACTGACTTTTGGGCCACATTGTATTAAAGAAATTCTATGATAATTGTTATTAGTATTTTTTGTTTTACTTATCTAAATAACCAATTAACCAATTAGCCTAATTGTTTTAATATAAAATTTTCTTAATACCATTATATTAATTAATTAATTAATTAATTTTTTCCTGAGAAATTAACTAATTACGTATAATAAACTTGTTATGTTTTAGATTTACAAAAAGCATTTTACTTGATAAATAAAATGTTAACTTAATGTTAATCGTTATATAATAATTGCAAATTAATTAGTAAATAAAATAATAATAATATTATATAAAATCCATAAATCTTTTATATAAAAGATTCTAGAAAATGATGTGGTGATTATTCATTATTAAATTTATTCATTAAAAATCCATAAAACAATCCATTAACTACTGATTAATATGTAAATCCCTTAGTAAAATTCGTTGTTAAAACATAAATTTTTCATCAAATCAAATATATTATCATCAAGATGAATGTCTAATAATTTTCCAAACGATAATAAGTGTCATTTGAATGTTGACTCATTGTAGAAAATTCATTAAAAGACCTTATATTCATCTTGTAAATTCACGGAAACCTTTAAGGTAAAACTGAACGTTCCTTTGTGTTATCTTAATGGACTATTCATTTGGTAAAGATATTTATAACAGAATTGATGAGGTTGTTTACAGCAATCAGTAGAAAGCTTCCAGCAAAATAAACTAATAAATTATGCACATAAATTGCTCTACATATTGATGTTATGAAGATATCTTTAACGTTGTACAATATATCTAGCATCCTGGATGGTTCCTGTTCTCTAGTTTGCCGCGAGATGGCGACTGTATTGTCTACCCTTCGTTTTGTTGATGAACCATCCAGTCAGGAAGTGGTTGTTAATGGCGAGCAAAGTAAACAATAAGCCAACGAAGCGCTCATTCACTGCCTTCCACTGCAATAAGTAACTTAACAATGATTAGTTGCGTATCGAAGATTCTTAAGTACTCCTTCCTACATCGAGTATATTTAAATCGAATTTATACCAAAAATATCTTCTTTATGGTTTAAATAATCCTAAATTAATCAAGATTCTTAATTACTTTCTTCAATTTTCTCATAAACTATCTTCTCTTTTGGAACTCTGCCCATTCTGTAAGTTTTGTGTACGTCCGTTTGTCTGTTCATAAATTATACAAAAATCTCTTGTTATATACCTACAATAGAATCTAATTTTTTATAAATATTTAATAATATCGCGTTATTTTCTTAACACTTCTATATAAACGTATAAAAACTTATATATGTAGAAAATAATAAAAAGTAAATTAATTTTGAATTATTATATAAACTATCAGATGTTTAATTATGTAAAATTTAAATTTTGACAGGCTTTTTTACATAAATAAAGAAATTTTACAATTTGGTCGTTTCTTGGTTTAACAGCAAACAGCAAGTTCTAAAATTTCTTATGAAAGAAGCACAAGGTTTCTGTAAAATTAGTTAATGTAAAATTTCTTTGTGAAAGAAAGAAATTTTATATTAATAAAACGATAAAACATTGAATATCTGTATAAATAAAGCATCATATAAGAATCAATTTAAAATTAATAAGGTATGAAACATGATAATTGTTTATTTTATTTATTGAAAAATATTCCTTTCATTACAAGTTAAAGAATTTTAATTAAGTTCATTTCATCTAGATTACAAAATATAAATTTAAAAAAATTTTCATGTTACAACTTAATTTTCAAGAGAAAATTTAAAATGATTAATACGTAAGAATTTTGTTTAAAAAATAAAAAAATATTAAAGTCTTGATAGAAAATTAACTATAAACAATAGAAACTTTCAATTTAGAATGTTTTCTTAAGGGAAATGTATATGTATATAAACTTCTCGAATCATGTTTTATAGTAGTCATTTATGAAAGAAACTAGTTACAGGATATACTTTAGTCGAAAATTGAAAATATTATTTTATTTTATTTTTTCTAGAATATAGTTTGGTATATAAAAATTGGCATCCTTTCTATCCAAATACAACTTTCTAAAGTATACATTTTTGTGCATATTTGGAAAACAATTTAAATTTTTTAGATTTTGTTCATTTATAATCAGTTCGAAAAGAATTTTTTTTTATCTTAAGCAAATTAAAGATAAATGTTTAAAATTTCGGTAATTTTTCGAATATCGTTCAGTTTTTTTTTTAATGAAGCTAATAAATTTATGTTATTAATTTGTAATTTTTATATTAAAAAATTATTCATTAAAAAACTTTTTAAAAAATGCAAAAATTGTTTTTAAAATATTCGAAAATGTACAAAAAATACTACTAAACTAATTGAAAAAAAACAAAAATAGAAATTGTTACTGAATTTTAAAATTTAAAAAAATAAATATTAATCAAAATTCAAAAAGATTATCTTCAAAGACTAATTTTTAATAGTTAAAATAAATNATACTTTGCTAATTTATTATTTAATATAAACTTTAATAATAAAAATATTTTTATTTAATTGATAATTTTTAACAAGGAAACAAAAAATAAAAAAATTAATTGACCCATTAGTTTTCCAATTAATTCGTCCTATCGATTATTATATCATATTTAAACGTTATCAAAACAAAACAGGAAATCTTATTAGTGGCAAAGTATCAACTGTAACTGTTTTTGACAAACGATAATAAAATATTTATAAAATATTAAAATAATCAATCATTTAATTTGCAAATTTTTTCCTTTCATATATATGTATATTGTACTTGGCAAGTGTTTCACGCATGAAAAACCGTAGAATCCGTTTGTGATATCCGAATGACAGTTAAATATCATTAATGTAGGGATTGATTAATTACAACATGATTTTCTATCCACTTACAATCTTTTCAAGATGAAGAAAAATTGAAAAAAATACAAAAAAAAAAAATTTGAGAATTTTCTATTTAATGGGGGGAATGAAGTATCATCTATATGATCATATCTTTTAATTTTATATAGAGGTGTGTCTGTTGGATATCCAACCCGTGAAGTAAATTACCTTATTTGTGATCGCAAGACCATATTCGTCGATCGGGTGTGGCAAAACAGCGGCGCTTCGTTCGCCTTCGTGTGCTACAATCAGAAGGACAGTAGCGATCATACGGCGAGGTAGGTTGCAGTCCAAGCTGCTCTTACAACTACACGTGATGTGTGGATTGTTCACTATGATCAAGTGGATTTTCTTCTTCAGCATCGTAACCGGTGAGTATTGTTTAAATTTATCGATAATGATCCCCTCTTCCGTGCTATGTATAACCCTAAAGGCAAACACAATTCTATCTACAACAATTGCTGATATACTTCTAGACAATTGCACCGAAAGATGCAACTTATAAAAGAAAATTTTTGTATAAAATTATATACGAGTACGTGTGTTATTCGGTTCGGCATTGTATAATGTACTTCCTAATGTTTTGGAACAGTTACAAGAGACACTTGTTTAGGAATTCATTGCACACTCTTCTGTATTAAACCGACCGATAAAAGCCTTCAGCATAGAATAGCCGTGTTCAAGAGGCTTCAATTACTGAGTGACATGTTGATTAGAGATTACAGAGATTTGCTACAAAAGTAGCGTAAGATGTATGGTAACTGATTTGTTTAAAATTCCAAGTGGACTATCGTTATTTATAAAACTATCCGTACTAAATAAATGTAATAATAACTAAACAATTTTTTTCTTTTTATTGTAAAAACTACTTCTACGTATAAATCGAACGTTGTTAAAAATCAATTTATGACTTTAAAAATATATTTTCTATTTTCAAAATTTGTAATAATTCACCGTTTATAAAAAGAAATTAAATTTTGTGTTAATATATCGAATAAACCTTATATCGAATAGGCTAACAGTTTTCGGACCTTTAAAGTTAATTTTATGAGCAAAAATTAATTTTATGAGTAAAAATTAATATTCGTGCCAACATTTACACGAATAGCAATTAGTAAAAGTCGGAGATGAACCAATTCTTTACTATTCACTCCCTTTGAGTGAATGCAATTTCTATGTCTAAGGTTACTCGACATTTTAATATCATTGATCTCATTATACGAGTAAAATTGATATCTGGAACTGTCATCTCAATCACGAATTATCAATTAATGTGTTGTAAAGAGGTGAAACTTTCAATACAGATCTTTGAATGTAGACATGCAAGATTTTGCAAACCATTTTATAAGATTACGTACGTTGAAAGATTGACCTCATTTGATCCGCAGACTGAGTTTAAGATGATACTTGAGTAAGACTACTAGAATGTCCCGCATGGTATCAAATGTCCATGAATATTTCATACGTTTCATCGTTAGGCAATACGCTGTTCATAATGATATGTCCGTAGCGGACAATATTAATGACCGTTGAAACTCAGAAAGATCCGAGAAGCGAATCATAAAAGTAATGATGAAGCGGAAATATAGCCGGAATACGTAATGACAACTTTCTAGTTACTGGGACCGCCCCATCCTTCGCAAACACATTAACGTCTACCACGTTGATTAGCAATCGTGCCATACAACAGGAGAAATGAATCGATTTAAACCCCCTTCTCGATATCTTCACCCCCGATTCTCCTACTCCTTTCACACTACTCTTAATCAGTTTGGCTTTCTTAGAGTCGTAGATGACTACCTTTTTATAAATTGTCATCTAGTCAATAAATAAAAATTGACTATAAATCATTGACTTTGTAATAAATGAATTTGTCGCTTCTTTACTCTATAATGTTGTTAAATGAATGATAAGTTAGGAAATTCTTTTAAAAAAATCATTTAAATTCACTTCTCTTGTATGTTTTCTTCTATTTATCTGGATATTGTAACTATTTAAGGATCAAACTTAGTGACAAATCACAAAATTTCATGTTCTGATATGCAAATCTTCAGGAATTCTGAAATTTATGAACGTTTATAATAAATAAGCCGTAAAGAAGTTCAGAATTTGTCGTTTCTTCACTCTATAATGTTGTTAAAGGAATGATAAGTTAGGAAATTCATTAAAAAATCATTTATGTGCATATCTCTTCTATGTTTTTCCTTACCAAATTGGATATTAAATTAATACTTATCAAACATAGTAAAAAATTATGAAGTTTTGTATGTTTTAATATACAAATATCTAGAAATTTCACTTTATAAATGTTTATGAAGAATAAATTGTATCGAAGTTAAGTTAAATGTTAATAGAACTGAGAAATTTAATATTTATGCAAATAAGTGTCAATGAATTTTTATTATTTTAACTTAGAAATTTTTTGATTTTTCAAAAAGATACGAAAAGTTCAAATACATTATCAGTTAATTATTCTTTTAATATATTTCTTTTTCGAAATGTAATGAAGTAATTTTTTATCGTTTCATAAAAGAAAAGTTGGTTTGATATTCTTAGTGAATGGGATGAGAATATAAAAAACGTAGGGAAAGTGAGTTCATTATTTTTGCCGTCAATTCCAAGCATCCATCAGAACTAATGGATTTACAGAATGAAAATGAAGGGAATTAAATGACATATTTCAAGACCTTTTCATTGATGATATCAGTTAAGATTTCAGAAATATAATCTTTGCTTCTGTTCTTAATTATCATTATTTTCTGTAAAAAAAGATGTGAATTATTTTTCTACTTTTGTATATAAATTATTTCTAGTTATTTATGTTCTCTATCCACTTGGAACATTATTCATATTTTTCAGTACGTTCGAAAGTAGATAGTTTGTTTTCTACCATATAATTACCTACTACCTGAAAGTATATTATCAAATTTAATAAAAATGTTAAGATATTTTGATATCTTATATAAATTAAACACCTAATTAGTAAAGGTTGCTGATTTATTCACTTACTTTTGAGTTGTGGTACGTTCTATAAATACAACATTAACATTTTTTCTGCTAATGGTAAAGAAGGAAAAAATGTTATAACTGGTGAGCTATTTATCTTCGACATGCTTAAAATTTGTTCCTTTGACTCGATTAATAGAAGCTGTCACATCAAAGAGTTTTATAAATGAATGTTACAGTATAACTTTCTACTCTCCAACTACCTTACACAGATCATCATATCTTGACATTCATTGCTATTTCCTCCTATTATCAATGTGCGGCTGCTTCCAACACTCCAATTAACTACACCTACATAGGTTTCATTAATTTCCATGCCACGTGGTAGTGACGTATGGTGCGTGCAATTGTCTATCGTTCTAAGAATAGCTAGGGTGGTAGAAATCCATCCACTTTTGATACATTCTCATATGAACACTACATCATTGATGTAATCAGAAATCTTTCAATGGATCGCCGCTATTCCTTTCGCATTTAGTTCTAGGCTTGGGGATCAATTTGTAAGAGAAATTGTAGTAGAAGGAGATTATACTATTTATTACGAGGTTGGTGTCACCGAGAAAAGAGAAATTGTTATAATTATGCAAATTTCAATCGTAGTTGAAGATAAAACTTTTTAGTTTTAATTAATAGAATTAATCTCTCCCTTTCTCTCTTTCTGTAACAATTTAATGAATTTTCGCATTATACCCCTCCTTTTTCTTACTATGTGATGTTAGAATTTATGTATAAAATTATATAAATGAAAATCGGAGGGATGCTCATTAAAGAATGAATTTCATTACAGGTTTTCCAAACTAGTTGATGTTAATTTACTTTGACGGGACATACGACCCCCTAATTAATGTTTTACTCTGATGTTTGAGGATATAGTTGTTAGAAGCGTTTGCTACACTTCTATCAATCATATAGCTGACGTAATTAATCCCTCAAGTCCTCAAGCTCACAATGTAGACCTAACCTTCTGCAAAAGAGACAGAGTCGGTCCCGTGAGAATGAGATTCCATTTTCCGCTTTCCAAAACCGGGATTTTCTAGGATAACTTCGTTTTCCTTTTCCGCTAAGCAATCGAGAATTCTGTGGCACGAATAAATTTCACCAGGCAAATGTATCGAGGATACAAACATCCAATACAATGACTCGACGAAGACTTAAATAATCCATGGATAAATGCTTGTTCATTTTATTAATTGACTCGATGCTTTAATGAAAGAAATAACTAATTTGACTTTCATTAACTTATTACATAATCTTATATAAGTTATCAATTATTATTTTTTAATCAAAAGAGCACTTTGCTTCATTGAATTTTATTTTAGTTTTTTGCATGGTTGTTTATATGACATTCTGAGATAAAATGCTATCTGTGGCTATATCATCAAGGGAAACATCAACAGACCGATAAATACCATTTCCTCTACAAATAATTTAATCTAGATAGAGCAACAGGCAGTTATAACTTCCTATTTTCTGGATTATTATTACAGTATTAATATTTTAGTCTATTGCCACATCATGATAACATTATATACTTGAGAAAAAGTAACTTAAAAAAATAAATTTTTATATTAAATTACAAGAACCAATTCAAAAATATTATCATTATCTATTCTCTAAATAATGTTATTTATTTTATAAAAATTTCAAAAATTTAATTTCTCACGTATCTCACTTATCCTTTTGAAACTCTTTCATCATAATTTTTCGTAAGTTAAAATAAATAGAGATTTATGCACTTATTGCATTTTTAGATAATGTTAAAATTATAGTAAAAACAAAATAAATTATATAAATTTATATATATTTTTTAAACAAAATTTCTATAATCACTTACTCTATCACATTGTTTTATTTAATTTCTCCGCCTAGTAAAAGCTTCAAATACAACAAAATTGATTTTAACATCATAAAGAAATTTAGGAATTTTAAAAAATCAATTATATAATTTTCTATCTGTCAATAGTGTTTTTTTAAGTAAAAAGCACTTAGTTCCATCTTGAATTACATAGGGACATTAAACAGATAAGAAGTGTTATCTGTATATAAACACACACACAAAGATGTAATCCCGAAGAACATTAGATTGAATGTCTTCAACTAATAAATAGAAAAGTATCAAGTGTCATAAAAATAGCAATATTTGTTAGAACAGCAGAAAGTTTTATATTCGTGTCGTGCAATCAACAAGCTTTGGCGATTCGGTAATTTGATTTGAGACAACGATCATGAGCCACTGCAGACGAGTAATGTAAGTGATCTGAGCATGTGCTGCACCAATGAATTGGTCGTTTGCCGTTCACTAAATGGTTACAACTGGCACGATGCTTTCTTGCCATTTCCTGCCGACAACATCGTTATCCCTATT